GATTTCAGGTTATTGGCGACATCCAGTGCCGGAAGACAGAAGTAAAGGAAGCCTGGTAAAGAACGGAGATGAGTGGTGAGGGGCTTAAGGGGCAGAGTGGCTGGGATGGCATTTACAGGCAATAGGACCCACCAGGGACTTTTGAACAAGGACGTAATATGATCACATCTGTGTATCAGGAAGCTTATCTGGGCAGCTGAAAGACCATTGGGATTCTACAGAGAAGGACAAAAGGAAGAGTGATTGTAACAGTTCAGGAATGAAGTGATGGAATCAGAACTAGATCGGTGAGCTTGATATTTTCCCTTCTATGGCCCCTCCCAGCTCTGACATTCCCTGTTCTAAGTTCCCTTCCAACTCTGATATTCTCTGTTCTAAAGTCCCTTCCTGTCCGGATATTCTAATGTCTAAGGCCCCTTATGTCTCTGACATTATTTGGTCTGTATGATAAGATCTCTTCCAGTTCTTACATTTTATGGTTTGTTTTGTTTTGTTTTATTTGCTAAAGGTCCTTGTGACACTGCTTGTTCTCTGCTCTAAAGCCCTTCCAGTTCTGATATTATATGTTCTCACTTTCCTTCCTAGTTCTGATGTTCTCTGCTGCATGTTCTAGGGTCTCTCTCAGGACTCACTTTAATCTGGGTAACCCTCATTTACCAGCTTGCATGAGGAGGAAGTTGTGATGAAATCCTAGGATTTCCCCAAGGGTAACATTCAACTCTGAAATTCTAAGATTTTTTTTAAAAATGCACGTCATTGTAAGCCCAGAACAAGGTGACCTGAAGATTAGGAGATCATCTTCCACTTAGCACTTCTCTCACCAAGCTGCTCCTAAGGAAATGGAGAGAGACACGATCCAGGCCCTAGGCCCACTGAGCCCCTGCCTGAGAGAGAGGCAGAACCTAGACATGGATGCATGGTGACTGGAACAGGGCAGAGTGAGCATGAGGCCTCGGGATGACAGACAGACAGAAGAGGGGAGGGAGAGTCAGAGATGAGAGAGGCAAAGACAAACAGTGCAAAAGAGCCAGAGTGGGGAGGGAGAGAGAGAGAGAGAGAGAGAGAGAGAGAGAGAGAGAGAGAGAGAGAGAGAGACAGAGAGACAGAGACAGAGAGACAGAGAGAAGAGAGGAGAGAGGAGAGAGAGAGAGACACACACACACAGAGACAGACAGAGAGAATGAGAAACCCAGTGAGAGAAACCCAAGAGTCAGAGAGATTGATAGAGGCAGAAAGTCTGGAACTGTGGGTGTTACCTCAGTGGTCCACCATGCCTAGGCCTGCCCCAGCCATAGTTCATTTCACACTCCCCTGTTATCTTATCACCAGATGCCAAGTTACTATTTGGCTCACACCATCCCCTCCTAACTTTCCAATTCCTAAACAATAAACAAATCAACCCCACCATAGTTCCTGGAAAGGGTGTGGGTTCTGGAAAGCTGACTCCTTGAGGTGGCTCCAATCACCATTCCTGTGACTTTCCAAACCACAGTCCCCTTCCTTGGCCCCAACTCTCCAATAGGAGTAGTTTCCAGTTAGAAGGTGAGCTCCTTGCAGGCTCGCTTGGTCTTCAACCTAGTTTTGGTTCCCAGGACTCAGCACAAGGCCCAGCCCATAGTACATGCTTAGTTAAGGCTTCTCCTTCCTTTCCTTCATTTATTCATTCACCTGATGGGCCAGTTCAGCATTATCCTGGTCCTCCTAGGTCTTTCTGCTTTAGCCAAGAAGGGAGACTAGGTGCCTTTGGGAGCCCACCCTTGTCTGGGCTATGAGCACAGAAACTGTCTCCAGGCAAGGAGTGATTGTGAACAAGTCTCAGGACACAGATCAATAAAAGCAGTGGATCTCCAGAGAAATACAAAGAGAAGCAAAAACGCTGGAGAAAAAAAAATGATATGCAAAGACAAAAGGCACAGAGTGACAGGTATGAGTAGAGCCATGGGAAAGACAGCCATGGAGACAGAGGCTTTTAAGAAAAAATTAGAAGAGAAAAAGACAGACATAGAAATTGAAAGAGATAGAAAACAGGGACTGTGATAAGACAGACAGGGATTGATAAAGTTGGCAGAGGCAGAGAGGGATAGTCCAGAACACCCTAGGCTAGGAGCCAGGAAACCTAGCCGCTAGCTGGTAAGTTCCCCTCTGGTCCTCAGCTTCCCAGCAATCGAAAAGTGCTAGACCTGGGTTTCATTCCTGGTTCTAATGTGACCTGAGCAGATCACTAACCTCTATGAGCCTCAGTTTCCACATCTGTAAAATAATTGTGCCTCCCTGGAGTCATTGTGAGAATCTAAGGAAACAAAGTGTGAAAAATTACTTTCCTTTAAGTATCATGTAGATAGCAGCCATTATCTCACTCTCAGGTTTTTTGAAAAGGCTCTAAGGACAAGGGAGTTAATCAATAGTTGAGGGGAGAGAATAAACATTTATACCACTGCCAGACAGCCTGTACTAAGCACTTGATCTTCACAACTACCCTGAGGGGTCTGTGCTGTTATTATCCCCATTTTACAGTTGAAGAAACCAAGGCAAACAGAAGCTGTGTGACTTGCCTGGGGTCACATAGCTACTAAGCATCTAAGCCAAGATTTGACCTCAGCTCTTCTGACTCCAGGTCCAGTGCTCTGTTCACTAGCTGCCATAAGGGCCAAGTGACTAGCTTGGCACAAGAGTTACAGAACCTTGCCCAAGCAACAAACTCCATGAAAATTAAAAAGCACCAGATAGAAGCCAGGAACTACATGAGATAACAAAAATATTAAAACAAAGTCAAAAGGGTAGAAAAACAGAAGAAAATGTAAGGTATTCCATAGCAAAAAAAAAAAAAGATTGACCCGAAAAACAGACAAGGAGAAAAAAACTGAAGAATCTACTTAATTTAAGGACTAAGTGAATACCATGGCCAAAAAAAGAGCCTAGACATGTTATTTCAAAATATTTTAAGAGAAAATGCTCAGATCTGTTTGAACCAGAGGGCAAAGTGAAAATAGAAAGAATTCACCAGTCACCTCCTGAAAGAAATCTCAAAATGAGAACTCCCAGGAACATCAGAGCCAAAATCCAAAGTCAAAGACTATATATTGGGGCAGCTCAGTAGATACAGTAGATAGGCCTTGCAATCAGGAGGACCCGAGTTCAAATCCAACCCCAGATATTTGACACTTACTAGCTCTGTGACCCTGGGCAAGTCATTTAACCCTGATTGCCTCACCAACAAAAGAAAGAAAGAAAGAAAGAGAAAAGAAAGAAAGAAAAAAGAAAGAAAGAAAGAAAAGAAAGGAAGAAGGAAGGAAGGAGGAAGAAGAAGGGAAGGAAAGAAAGAAAGAAAGAAAGAAAGAAAGAAAGAAAGAAAGAAAGAAAGAAAAAAAGAAAGAAAGAAAGAAAAAAAGAAAGAAAGAAAGAAAGAAAGAAAAACTTTGTCAGAGACCAAATATTGCAAGCAGCCAGAAAGAAAGAATTCAAGCACTGAGCACCAAGAACCCCAGGCAGGATCACACAAGATTTAGCAGCTACTACTATAAAGGAGCAGAGAATTTGGAATACGATATCCTGGAAGGCAAAGGACTTGTAACTTACCCAGAAAAACTAAGTATAATGCTACAGGGGAAAAGGGGGCGAGAGAAATAGACCTTTAATGAAATAGAGGACTTCCAAGCATTCCTGATGAAAAGATTGGAGCTGCAGAGAACTTTGAATTCCTGTTCAGAGGAGCAAAGAGAAACCAAAAAGTCAACATGAATGAACAATATTAAGTATTAAACAAGGATAGACACTCTAACATAGGAAGATCATACATGTATCACCTCTGATTCCTCTCTTCATCAGGGTCCACAGAGGGAGTCTAATTAGACCAGGCCCGGAAGTCATTCTGTTATGTCCTGATGATCTTAAGAGAAGAATGGAAAGAGAGGGAAAGAAGTATACAGAGAGGGAAAGGAAGGTTAGAGGAAATTATCTCACATAATCAAGGTACACAAGGAAAAATCTTTACAAACTATAGACATTTATACAAAGGAGGTAGAGAGGAGTGGCTGACACTTGAACCTTATGCTCATCTAAACTGGCTAAAGGAAGGTTGTCTGCTGTCTGTCTGTCTCTGTCTCTCTTTCTTTTCCTCCCCTCTCTCCTCTCTTTCTCCCTCTCTCTCTTTTTCTCTCCCCCCTCTCTTTCTCACTCCTCTCCTCTTTTTCTTCTCTTTCTCCTTTTCTATCTTCCTCTCTTTCCTTCTCTCTCTCTCCATATTCTCTCTTTATCCTCTTTCTCTCTCTCCTTTTTTCTCTTCCTCTCTCATTCCTTCTAATCCTGTCTCTCCTTCTCCCTCCCTCTCTCTCTCTCTCTCTCTCTCTCTCTCTCTCTATCACACACACACATACATACAATTGTGTACAGAAATACATTTAATTCAAACAGAGAAATAACAGGGAGAGTGGAGAAAGAAGGTGTGGAATTAGAGAGGGTAGATCAAGGGAGGGTTCATCTTAACAAAAACAAAATCTAAAGATATACAAAATTATTTATATTTCTTTTGAGGTGGCAAAGAATGAGAATCTGAGAGAGTACCCATAAACTGGGAAATGGACGAACAAGTTATGGTATGTAAATATCATGACATGCTATTCTGTCATAAGAAATGATTAAAGGGATGTTTTCAAAGAAAGCTAGGAGAATATGTATGATATATCCATGTATATGTTGTATGTGTATGTGTGTGTGTGTGCATGTGTGTGTGTGTATGGAAAGAGACAGACAGAAAAAGAGACAGAGACAGATAAAACAACATGGTAAAGACAAACAATGTTGAAAGGCTTGAGCATTCTGATCAGCATAAGGACCAGCCATGATTCCAGAGGAATCATGCTGAAACAAGCTACCTACCTCCTCAAAGAGAGGTAAAGGACTCAGAGTACAGAGAAAGACAAACATTGTTTTGGAAAATGGCCAAGGTGGAAATTTGTTTTCACTGATTGATTTCTCTTGATATGTGTTTGTAACAGGGCTTGTTTTCAGTCTTCAAAAGTTCCTGGGTTTGAGGTAGGAAGGTGAGAAAGCAGATTTTTACTGATTGAAAAAAATGTACTTTAAAATGAACCAAAGGGGCCAGAAAGCGCTGGGACTGGAGCCCCAAGAGCTCAGGCACTGAGCTCAGAGGCTCTACTTTATACCAGGAGGCTGGGCAGGAGAAAGCCTAATTACACAGGGCTGGGCTGCTTCTGACACACACCTGCAGGCTCAGGTCTTGCAATGCTGCTCCTACTCTTGCTATGCCTCCTGCTCCTCGCTCTGGCCCTTCACAGCAAGGGATCAAGGAACCCTCGGTGCCAGCTGCCCCCTGGCCCCACACCCCTACCATTGCTTGGAAACCTACTACAGCTTGGTCCTTCGAGTTTGGACAAACGACTCATGAAGGTAGGAGATAGCACCAGGGAGGCAAGAGCTGGATTGTAAGGGGTCCTAGATAATGGGGACCTGAGGATAGATTCATCTGAAAGGAAACAGGAAAATGCCCAGTTAGGTGCAGCAGAGGCAGACACTGAAAGCCACAGAGACAGAAGGAGAAGGGATATTTATGGGATCCTAGAAGTTGGGACTGGGAGACCCAGATCCAAGTGGGGCAGGCATTGGGAAGTCAAGACACAGTCACCCCTGGGGTTGGAAAATCAGGGTCCCAGAGACCAGGATGGGGGGAGCTGGAAGACCCAGACTTCACTGTCTCAGGACCTTCCTAAAGGTCATACTGGTGGGGAGAGTCAAGGACTAGACTGGGGGCTTGGCACACTCAGAGGCTGGGATGCCTTGGCCCTGAGGTCCTGAAGTTGAAGGTAGAGGACCCAAGACACAGACTGAGGGCTGAGGTATCAGGGGTCAGTAGGTTCCTGGACAGCTAGGGGATGCCCTAGCGCATAGAGTGCTGGGCCTGGAGTCAGGAAGACTCACCTTCCTGAGTCTGATCTGGCCTCAGACACTTCCTAGCTGTGTGACCCTGGGCAAGTCACTTCACCCTGTTTGCCCCAGTGTCTCAACTGTAAAATGAGCTAGAGATGGAAATGACAAACCACAGCAGTGTCTCTGCCAAGAAAACCCCAAATGGGGGGAATACAGTTCCAGATGGGCTATAGGGACTGGGTGCAGGGAAGCCAGGGACCCTCAGGCTTTCAGGTAGGAGTCTGATCTGGGTCCCTGTCCCCTGCAGCTGAGCAAGAGCTTTGGATCCGTGTTCACAGTGTACTTGGGCCCACAGCCAGCCGTGGTGCTGAGTGGAGCCAGCACTCTCAGGGAAGCTCTGCTTCTGCAGGCAGACGCCTTTAGTGGGCGCGGTGGCATGGCCTCTTTTGACCGCTGCACCCAAGGCAAAGGTGAGGGGGGTCAGGTACAGAGCCTCCCTTCATGCTGAGGCCCTGGCATCATGTCTTCATCTCTCCCCATATCTCTCCGTTCCCCCTCCATGAATTTCTGCCTCCTTTGGGTCTTCATGACTCACGTCTCCCATTTCCCTCAGTCTCCATTCCATTTTTCTCTCTCTCTGGACCAGTACCCTGGTGACTGCTCTCCCAGTCTCTGCTTTTCATGTCTCTGCTCTACTTGTGCCTCTCCTCCCCACTCTGCCTCCATCTCTGTTTGCCATGTGCAAGTCTCCATGTCTCCATCTTTACTCTCCATATTTCTGTCCTACCCTATCTCTGCCCTCCTGGCTCCCTCCCCATTGTCACTGTGTCCTCTATCTCTGTCTCCCAGGTTGGAGTCTCTATTCACTCCCCTGTATCTTTGCCCTCAATATCACTGCCCCCTCTTGTTTCTGCCCTAATATCTCCTTTCCCTTGTCTCTCTCTGTACCCATATCTATCTCCTATGTCTCTGTCCCCCATCCCATTCTGTCTTATCTCTCTGCCTTTGCTATCTCTGTCCCCTTTTGTCTGACTTCTGTCTCTGCTCCTTCTGTGTCCTTATCTCTTGTTCCCTCTCTCCCTTGTGCAGGAATTGTATTCTCCAATGGCCACCTTTGGCACACACTCCGAACCTTTACTGTGGGATCACTGAAAAAGCTGGGGATAGGGAGCCGGAGCATTGCCGAACGGATCCAAGAGGAGGCAGCTGCCCTCATTCAGGAGCTCAGCCTCATCCAAGGTTCAGACCTGAGACCTCAGGAACACAGGTGGAAAGGGAAAAACAGAGCAGCAGGGATGGCAGTGAGGACAGGGGCACAGAGAGATATAGGGAAAGAGATACCACTTATATGCCAAGACAAAGAGGTTATATTATATAGAGTACAGAGATATAGAGACATAGGAATGTGAAAGAGAAAGAGAGAGTCTGGGGAGGTAAGCCACATGAAAGTCAAGTTTGATATGGGAGAGCAAGGGGGAAGGGGAGTGAGGGGAGAGGGGGGCCTGAAATACACCTGACTCCTCCCCTCATGGCCTCCCCCCAGGAGCCTCATTTGACCCCCTCTCCCACATTCGCAATGCTGTAGCCAACGTCATCTGCTCTGTAGTGTTCGGGGAGCGATATGCTTATGATGACCCAGATTTCCGGATTCTACTGAACTTGCTGAATGACAACTTCCAAATCCTGAGTTCCCAATGGGGCCAGGTGAGCCATAGCTAGATCTCAGTCCCCTGCTATTCCCAACTCAGACTCTTCTGAAAACCCAGGACTATAGTGTATGGCCCACACAAGAAGACCTTAACTGGAGAGGGGGGGGTAAAAGGAGGCAGAGGGGGTGGGAGCAGGGAAACAATCCAAGCATTGACACATCCTGGAGATCCTCTTAAAAGAGGAGGAGAGCCCCTGGTAGAGGGGTAGGGGAGATAAAGAAGAGAATCTGAGGGTTCGAGACAATGCCCAGGCTCATGTGACTACTAAGTATCTGACATGACATTCAAACCCAGGTCTTCCTGACTCCAAGTCCAGAACTCAATCCATCGTGCCATGAAGACCCTGAAATGACTTGGACATACTGTACAGCAGGGGTGGGAGGAGGGACCCTCATGGAAGCTGGTGCAATGACCCCTAAACACACACACACACACACACACACACACACACACACACACACACACTCCTCATCCTCTTCTTTCTTATCCCCTTACCCAGATGTACAACATTTTCCCCTCCTTCCTGGACTGGATTCCTGGCCCCCACCACCGCATCTTCAGTAATTTCAACAAGTTACAGGCTTTCATTTCCAAGGAGATCAAGAAACATGAGGAGAACAGACAGCCTGAAGAGCCTCAAAACTTCATTGATTGCTTCCTGGACCAAATGGACAAGGTTTGGTCCCTTCCCTGTATCTTCCCTGCCCTCACCCCTAAATACCCAACAAAAATGTTAAAAGGCTCAGATCCTCCACCAAATAGCCACTTCTCCCATAAACTATGACCCCATTTTCCTGCCTTAGGCAAAGCAGGATCCCAGGAGTCATTTCTACATGGAGACACTGGTGATGACAACACATAACCTATTCTTTGGTGGCACGGAGACCACAAGCACCACCATCCATTATGGACTCCTGATCTTACTCAAATATCCCAATGTGACAGGTAGGTAACCTTGGGCAAATCACTCCACCTTACTGAGCCTCAGTTTGGCCACTTGAAAAAGAAGGGGATTGATCTGGATGGTCTCTAGGGATCCTTCCAAATCTCAATGCTATAATCCAGGGGACCATGGGAGTAGGAGAAAGGGGAGTCCCTCAAAACACATTCCTCTTCCTCCTTCCACCTTTCTCAGAGAAGATCTAGGAAGAGATATTCATTGTTACAGGGCAAGAGAGTCCCCATGACAAAGCCAGAGACCACCTATCCCACACCACTGCAGGTACTTAAACCCCAAGGGTCTCAGTTCTGCCATTAGTATATCATACTAATACATACACAATGAGTCCCCCAGACAAGGTTGTCCAGGCTCAAGGTAGTTTATGTGTCTGCATCCATTCAAAACAACAGCTTGTGAGCCCCCATCAATGTGTTTACTTTTACTAGACAGAGGACACAAGTATTACTTCCTAACAGAGGCATTTTAATGAAATAATGTGGTAAGAAAAGTAGCAAGGAAACATTTTCTCCTCATACATAACACATTATCCTGAAAATATATATATCTCATCAGGAGAAAAAGTGAACACACTATATGTAGCTGGGGAAGACTTGGCTAGGTCACCCACACAAAGGGTCAGTTCATCACTCTTGACACTACAGGGCTGCTGATGACTTCTGATAATGTCATCTTGCTTCTCCTGCCAGGACTGCTCCAGACTGGTGCCCTGTGGTGTGCAGTCTCTACCAGGCATGTAGCCTTAGGTGGATACTTCATTGTTTCTGGATGTTGCTGCCTGATGGCTTTGAAGGGATGATGCTCAGCATTGCATCTTACCTGGGGGCTTTGTGGATAGAGCATTAGGCCTGGAGTCAGGAACACCTGAGTTCAAATCAGATCTCAGATACTTACTACCTGGGCAAGTCACTTAACCTCTGGTTTGCTTCAATTTCTTCAAATGGGGATAATAACAGCACCTTCCTCCTAGGGCTATTGTGAGGACCAAGTGAGCTAAGAATCGGAACTCATTTAGCCCATTGCATGACATAGAATAAGCACCATATAAATGTTCAATCTCTTCCCCTCTCCCTTTCTGCCACTGGTTCCCTGGTCCATAGGTGTCGCTGGTCACTCTCAGGTGTTCTACTGCGCATGATCTATGAGATCATGGAGCTATTCTCTGCTTCTAGCTGTAATTGGAGTCCCAGGGTTAACTCTTCAGAACAGGCGTAGGATGTACCAATACTGTTTGGGTTTAAAGCCTTGACGTTTTTCTGCAACAACCTTTTTTTAAAAAGAGCTTTTTTTTAAAATAACAAGCATTTTTCCTCTCCCTCCCACTTCTCACCTGAACTGAACAACAACAACAACAACAACAAAAAGCTTCATAACAAATATATTTAATCAAGTAAAGCAAATTCCTTCATTGGCCACGTCCAAAAATGTATCCATGTTCATTCTAATTCCATTACTTCTGTGTCAGGAGATGGGCAACATGCTTCATCTTTGGTCCTCTGCATTATGGTTGGTCATTGTGTTGATCAGAGTTCTAAAGTGTTTAAAAATTGTTTTTCTTTATCATATGTGTTACTATATAACTTGTTCTCCTGGCTCTTTTCACTTCACTTTGCATCATTTTGTACAGCTTTTCCCAGGTTTCACTGAAGCAGTCCAGGTCATCATTTCTTATGGCATAATAATATTCCATCGTGTTCATGTACCAAAATTTGGCTATCCACTCCCCAAAAGACAAGTTTTCCATTAGTTTCCAGTTCTTCCTTACCTAATTTTTCCTCTCCTTTCATTTCCCTCGGATATATGACTAATAGCACTATTGCTAGGTCAAAGGGTTTGCATAGTTTAGTAATTTGGGGGATGTCGTTCCAAACTGTTTTCCTGAAGGGTTGGACCAGTCCATATTCCACCCACAGGGGATCAATGTACCTGCTTTCTCTCAGGCGCTCCAGAATTGGCATTTTTGTGTTTTGTCATCTCTAACAACTGGAAAAGTGTGAACTAGAACCTCAGAATTGTTTGAATTTCTACTTCTCTAATTGCTAGATATTCTGGAACGTTTTATATGATTATTGATAGTTTGAATTTATTCTTTTGGAAACTGACTATTCATGTACTTTGACCATTTATTTATTGGGAAATGGTTCTCAGTCTTTTATATGTGAATCAGTTCCTTATATATCTTGAATAGGAAAAGTGAGTCGAGCTCTTGGGCTCTAGCATCTCCCAGTTTCTCAATTCTAAAACTCCTTTGCTCTCTCAAAATACCTAGAGGTCTCAGTAGAGAGAGCGCTGGACCTGGAATTAGGAAGACCTGAGTTCAAATTTGGCCTCAGACACTGGCTTTATGATCCTGGGCAGATCACTTAATCTCTATCTACCTCAGTTTCCTCAACTATAAAATGGGGCTAACAATAGCACCTATTTCCCAGAATTGTTGTGAGGATCAAATGAGATAATATTTGTAAAGTGCTTACTGCAGGGCTTGGCACTCAGTAGGCACTTAATAAATACTTGTTCCCTTCCCTCTTCCTTTTTCCCATGTGTAGATATGAGTGGGGGAGGGGTGGGAGCAGAAACAAAGCTAAGCCCAGAGGTCCCAGGTTATTGCCTCCTTATGGTCTAGCCACATTCCTGGAGTATCCCATGCGTATGCGCCAGCAAAATCTATCCAGGTTTTGAAGCTTCTCTACATATAAAAGGAGGGGATGGGAACCGGAGGTCCTTCCACGTCTAACTTCTACGATATACTGGTGGGGCCCCTTCAGAGGCCTTCGATCCTCCTTCTCCTTCCATTTTCCCAGAGAAGATCCAGGAGGAGATTGACACTGTGGTGGGTCGAGATCGGCTTCCCTGCCTGCAGGACAGAGACAATCTACCCTACACAAATGCTGTGATCCATGAGATCCAACGTTTCATCAGTGTGCTGCCTATGGGTCTTCCTCACATTCTCACCCAGGACACCCACTTTCGTGGCCACTTCCTACTCAAGGTGCCCAGCTCAGATATGTACTCTATTTGTGGAAGGGAAGAAGAGGGCTGACAAGGAGAGAGGCTTGGCTGGCAATATGGTGGAGTCAGGCAACCTGGGACCCCAGACCCATCCCCATCTTGATAGTTCAGTCCTGTAGTAGTTGGCTTGCTGAGGGAAGGCAGAAAGCTGTATGCTCTGATTCCAAACAGTCCCCCAAGCTCCACCCACTCTGAATGGGAGTGCCTTTGTGCACCTGATGTCCCAAACCAGCCTGGATCTGCTAGGGCTTACAATATCTACACCCTATCCACAGGGCACCACCATCCTTCCATTACTGATCTCTGCACATCGGGACCCAACCCAGTTCAAGGACCCAGAAAACTTCAACCCAAACAACTTCCTGGATGATAAGGGGGCCTTCCAAAACAATGACGCCTTCATGCCCTTTGCTCTAGGTTGGAACAGGGGTTGGCATGGGGGGTGGTGGCAGTAGTGGTGGGGGAGGGGCAGGAGGAATTCGGAAAAAGCAAAGAACTGGGCAAGGGACAAGAGCATCTCTAGGGAAAGGGCTTTCAAAAGGGAGTCACAGAGTAACCTAAATATGTTACCTCAGACAACGGAAAAGCTCTCTGAACCTCAGTTTCCTCCTCTGTTATTTATATCAGCTCACAGGAAGGTTTTGAGAAAATGCTTTGAAAGATTCAAAGTATTTTATAAATGTGAGCTGGTATTATCATCAAAAGGTGGAGAGAATTTAAATGTAAGTTGTGTTGCCCACATGGGACACGTCTATCCACATGAGATGTCTAAAAATATAGCCCAGCATTCAAGGGGAGGTATTGATAGATAGGTGGGAGGGGAAGGGCAATTAAGCCCCAGAGCACACCCAGGCACAGAAGTACTTTCCTCCAGACTGAGGTATGCTAGACTAGGACTGAATCTGCCTCCTTAAATATTGCCCATCTAGGGGCACTAGGTGGCGCAGTGGATAGAGCACCAGCCCTGAATTCAGGAGGACCTGAGCTCAAATCCGGCACTATATATACATATAGCCCATCTAGGAGTACGTTTAAGTCCAGAGCACAATCGGCCACAATCCTTCAAAGGGGGAAGGGTATCGGCCTCAGACACATAATACTCACTAGCTGTGTGACCCTGGGCAAGTCACTTAATCCCAATTGCCTCATCAAAAAAAAAAGGGGGGGGAGGAAGTGTAGCCTTCAGTTTTCATTTGCCAGGTTGGTTCCTTCCCACCAAATGTTAGTCAACAAAAGACCCTTGCAAATAGTGAATAGCAAGTAGCCCTAATTATACAAGAAAGTAGTAAGCAGAACCTAGAGAAGCCAAACAGATTAGAATATACCAGAAAATATACACAGTGAATGAGCTCTCCCACTGAGACCAAGATAACTTAGCTCAAGATCTTAGCAGAATGCCTGGCACATAGTAAATAATTAAAGCATATTTACTGATTGACAGACAGCTCAAGCCAAGAAAAGGATGGTCTTATTCAAGGGGAAATTCACCAAAGTCTTTCAGGAGGCAAGCTAGAAATCAGGGACCAGTTGGGGAGCTTGCTTTCATCGTGCGGCTATGCCTTTCAAAGTCTTTCTCTCTCCATTTGTCTGGAGCTGGGCTCAGCTTTAGAGATCTTGGAGTGATGTGAGAAGAACATGTCTCCTCTTCAAGCTTCTTGAACCAATTCTCCCCCTGACACAGGCACACAGCACTGCATCAGCATTCTCCCTCAATCAGGAAAGTCTCATGCAAAATACTCAGGCTTGGCTAGAAACCCAGATTACATAAATGTTCGTTCTAACCCCTTTCTTTGGGCTGATTGAGAAATGGACCCACAAAGTGAAGTGATTTGCCCTCAGTCACAGAGTAGGCAGATGGCAGATAAGACAGAGAGAAGCTTGAAGAATCTGGGAAAGAAGATGGGAAGAGATTCCAAGGAAGGGGCAGGTAGGCTGTGTCACTGATAACTGCTGCCTGGTGTCTACAGGAAAACGCATCTGCCTCGGGGCAGGCCTGGCTCGCATGGAGATCTTCCTCTTCCTCACCACCATCCTGCAGCGTTTCACCCTGTGTACTGTGAAGAGGCCTGAGGAGATTGACCTCTCCCCCAAGTCCACAGGCCTGGGCAACGTGTCCCCACCCTATGAGCTTCTCCTGAAGATCCGATGAGCTGCTGCCCAAAGGGGTACCTGTCACATACAACTCCCCCACCTCACCAGCTCTTTGTCTTTCATCCAATAAAACCCAGAGTTTGGACAAAGAGCTGGTTACTCATTGAGGATGGGGAGAGGGGAGGAGGGGTAGGAGTGAACGGTGGTAGAGAGAGAGGCAGCAGATTACACAATTCTGAAGTGCCAATACACAATTATGCAGCATCAAGGCACCCCCTCCAACACTTGGGTCTCCAAAAGAAAACTATCCCTGATGGTCTCTCTGGGCCATATCCATTCAAGAGCCATATCTCAGCAGCCCCCACTGATGTGTTTACCTTTACTAGGCATCCAGAGAATGCAATTAGTTCAAAGCAAAAGCATTTAATGAAATAGCACAGTAAAAAATGTAATAATACAACATCCCCCCCATAAATTGGGGACATCTTCTCCAACAAATACTCACACCATCAGCAGAAAAAGTAGACACGTGTAGGGATAATGCATGAGAATGCATCTAGAGGGAATACGTGTGGCCAACAGGCTGTTGCAGAGAGGCACATGAGGACCACAAGGCTAGGGCACACATGTAGGAAACACATTAGGCAGGGTGCACACCCACTAATGCTAAAGGGATGATGGCATCTTCTATCAATGCCATCACAGTGCTTCTGTTGCTCCTACTCTCTTCTGTGGCTTCCCATTGGCCACACCATATGGCTCTGCCGTATTTTTTTCTGGAACCCAGAGGCTGTGTCAGCTCTTTTCAAGGCAAAGACAACCACTCTTTAGACTACGGAAGACAGAGTTCCCTCCTTAAGACAAGAGTTCTCTCAACTACCAGAGTCACGGTCCTAGGAGCCAAGTTCCTTTGGAACACAGACCAGCCCAGACAGGTAAGTAGAGTCCCTAGGTATTTAAATCTGTCTTTGAATAAGCTCCCTACTGCTGAGCAGAATCAAAGCCCCTATCCCAGGCCTCTATCTGACTTTGGTTTGGAAAATTTCCTTTAACTCCAATCAGTCCCTAATTGTCGATCTATATTACCTCTGAAACCATTTCAGGGGGTCTGCATTCCAATCAACCACAAAAGTCTGAATGGTTCTGAGGCACCAGGACTTCTCTCATCCCCCACCTCCACGACTCCCTACTTCAAACTTTCTGTCCCAAATTCCTGACTTTCACATGCAAATGTAACTGGCAACAAACCTCCCTGGCTTTGAGATGCCTTTCATTTGTCTCCAGAGAGGATACAAGTCTAGGCCCAAAGGTCCTGCCACCACGACCTCCAATCTCCAGAGGAGGCCTAGGCCAAAGCATACCAGAGTCCAAGGGCATTGAAGGGCTCCCTTCACATTCCAATTTAGGGCAAGGAAGTCCCCTCCATCGAAACCCTAGCCAGATGGAGGCTATAACACACCCCAGCCTGTCAAGATTCCAACCTAACAGTAACTGTTGCCAGACTGAGGGAGCTCAGGTACTAAACCATCCCCCTCTCCATCAAGGTCCCCTCTCAGCTCTGAACCCATGCATGAGCGGGGAGGAGGTTCAGTCCTGGGGCAGCCTGTTGTTTTCGAGTCATTTCAGTTGTATCCAGCTCTCTGTGACCCCATTTGGGGTTTTCTTGGCAGAGACACTAGAGCGATTTGCCATTTCCTTCTTGGGCTCACTTTACAGATGAGGAACTGAGGCAAACAGGGTTAAGTGACTTACCCAGGGTCACATAGCTAGTGAGCATCTGAGGCTGAATTTAAACTCAGGTCTTCCTGACTCCAGTGCCACCTAGCTGTCCTGGGGGAGCCTGACCACCTAAAGAAAAGGGGGTCAGATTCTTTTGTCTCATACTCTTCACCCCATATGCCATTCCAGTGCCCCAAGGGAAATTACTTGCTTCTTAGGTTTTGTCTCATGTCTAAGATCTTCACAAAAGAGGAGTGGAAAGGTACTCAAACTACAATATAAATCAGGCATAGGCAGCTATTTATTTCCTCCGCAAAAAAGAAAGGCTAAACACAAAAGACTCTCATAAACACACATTAACAAAGACTTAAATGGCACACAGCAACTACTTTTGTATAACCACTGTTATACTCTCCTGGGGGTGATAGCCATCATCAAGACATGATGTGGAACCGCTGAACAAGCATTTTACATTTCATCTCAGCTCCGCACTATTTAAATAATTCTCTCCAGGTCCGTGTCTTCTGCTAAGCAGCTTTGACTAAAGGACCCAGAATCTCCCAACCTCTCAGACTCACAGTGTTGCCTCCAAAGTTAGACAACATTCATCTCAGAATCACTGTTTAGTCATTTTTGCTTTGGGAAGGAATCCCAAAGCAGCAGCAGAGGCAGCCAGGTGCTCCACGGCCTTAGCTCCCCTGGCCTGGCCAAGTCTCAGCCCTTGCTGACACTTTGGAGAGAAGGTTGACAATACCCTCCCCTAAAGGGAGTTTAGAATAGTCTAGGCAGAATTTCCAAATGGGAAGAGGAGGGATGGGAGAGGCTACATCACTCTTTATTTTTAAGAACCACCAAGTCATTCCTGCTCAGCATCCAGTAATAGGGCTGTTCCATCATTCCAAAAGCCTCCAGTTCTTCAGCACTGAGCTTTTTCCCAGAATTGACCAGTGCAGAGGCTCAGCACTCCATGGGGCAGCTTCCTGATATACTGGTATCTCATTATGAAAGAACAGGGCCACTGTGGACCCCACTGAAGGAGCGTGGCAGAGGAAGGGGGACTATTCATCTTCTTTTGGCAAAAGGACCAGTGGAAGCAAATGCTGCCTCTCCCTTCCCGGCACCCTCTGTAACCTGGGGTACTGGAGACTTCTGCTCCCTTTAGTGGCAGACAGAACCCACCTCTGACCTACTTGGGGAAGATAGAAAAGAGAGACAAAAATAGAAGCAGAAGCAGGAAGAATGACAAAAACAAGGAGCATCATGACCAAGAGAGGTCCTGCCCCTCTCGCAGGCTGGCTGGGCTGAGACAGTGCTATCTGAATGCACTTCTATCCCTGCTGCACAGGGATGTTGGAATAATTGAGAGGAGAAAGGGCATAAAGGCCCATAGACATGTCTGAAGAGGCCTGGCCAAAAGAGAATTCATGAAGGCCATTGGAGCAGGAGGGTGCAAGGAAGCTAGGGACTTGATGAAGGCCAATAATTAGGGGGAAATGTGGTTGGCAGGCTGGAGAGAAATGGGGGATTTGGAGATAGAGTCAAGGAATTGGGGGTAATTGGGGGGTCAATTTGATAGAACAGGAAGGAACTAGGGAAGAGGTACTAAAAGCCCCTAGAAATGGCCAGCAAAGAGACACCTAGTAGGTTTGTCCTTAGCTATGAGCTAATGAGAACTCCCTGACTGATTTCATTTTGTGGGAAAATCTGAGGATCAGATCAGACCAGACCAGCAGCCTGTCAATTTTGGCAACTACAGACCAGACCCCTGAGAAATTCTATAGCAAAGGAACCCAAGTGGTTGGTAGGGAGGCACAAGGAGGTAGCTGGAGAAGCCAAGAATGAATGTCAGAAATTAGACTGAAGAACCCCTCTCCCCAGTTCCCTACCCCACCCCCACCCCCATCCCACCTCCACACTGTCTTAGCACCTGCTCTGGGGATGCTTTTGAATTGGCAAGCTCGGTGTCCAGAAGGTGACTGACTCCTTTCAAAACTCTAGGGGTACCTCTCAGGGACATTAGCTTCTAGAATCATTGTTCACAAGCCCCAACCAGTGTGCTTCCCATTAGCAATTTGCCAGCCAAACTCAGTCAGCTTTTAGAAAAGATATTAACTAAAATGTATGGTAAATCAATCAATAAATAAATGTTTATTAAGCACTTACCATGTTCCAGGAACTGTACTAAGAACCAGTGGAACAATTCCTTGCCTCAGACTAGAGGCTGCATGCACATACAGGGTCCCTGAGGAGAGTGGATTCAAATGCCAGTACAAAGAACATTTGTAGCAAGGATGTAACTCATACTTCCCGGTTATTGGAAGTCTTTCTCCGTTGGTAAAGTTCTCTAGAAGTCCCCATTTGGTGCAACTCTTGGCTGAGATCCTAGGATCCTTCCCTTTCTGGAATCCATAGCCATCCTTCTCTTCACTACAAGGGAATTGTTGCATTACCTGAAGTTAATTCCTCCCTTTCATCTGTCCTGGTCCATGTTTGTCTTCTTTGTCTTCTCCCTAAGCTCCCAGCTGGATGAACAGGGACACTGTTTCCTACTGGCCTGTTCCCTTTGATAACATGGCCAAAGGAGGCATCACCCCAACCCCTACTGCCCTCTGGTACCAGCACAAGGGTATCCCTCTTCAAGGAGCTCCTGAGCTTGGAGCTCTCCACCTTCTGTCTGCTTAACTGTTAGACTGACTTCCCACTGGCATTCTCCAGCTGTTCAAGACTCTACAGGTATGGCTAATTTGTTTGGTTAACTGATTGGCTATTCCCATCTTGACCCAATCAAAGCTGTTCAAGCCTTGGAAAGGAACCATAGGATATGAACCATCCTGATTACCCATTTAAAATTTTATCATCCTCTAACACGGATTACATTAAGATTATGTTACATTACATTATATTACATTACATTAATTGGAGAAGACAAGAACATCCCCTCACTCTTGTTCTCTCCCTCTCTCTCTCTCTCTCTCTCTCTCTCTCTCTCTCTCTCTCCCTCCCTAACTCTCTTGCCCTCTCCTTTCCTCTCCCCTCTCCCCCCCCCTTTCTCCCCACCCCCTCCTCTTTTTTGGTCCATATGGTTGACTATCCAGGCATGGCCAAATTGGCCTAGTGAAGTTATCAATTCATAGTAGGTCTTGTCAGAGAAATATCTGTATTCCTATCATCTCCAGGATCAAATATAAAATCCCGTTTTATGTTGCAAGTCCTTCATAGCCTAGTGCCCTCCTACATTTCTAGCCTTCTTACACCTTACATCCCCATCATGTACTCTTTGATCCAGTGACATTAGCCTCCTGGCTGTTCCTCCATCTCCGGATTTTGCAGCTTTCTGCTGGCTGTCCCCAGGGAAGACAGAGAAGAGTGGCCCGCCTCTCTACCTCCTGGCTTACTTGGCTTCCTTTAATCTCAGCTAAAATCCAACCTC